TTAATTAATTAACCACACTCTAGCTGTAGAATTTATTAAACTTTTAGAAAAGACAAATACATCATTTTTTTTTTTTTACATAATGTCCTTGCTTTGCAATACACTTTGTCCATCTGTCAACAAGCTTTCATATTCTCTAATTATAAAAAATGATTTAGGCTTAACTGTGAGCCACAAATGCACCACTGTCTTCACTTCTTCATCAGAAATGAATCTTCATCTTCTAAGGGATTCTTTCAGGAGACCAAACAGGTAAAAATCAGATGGAGCAAAATCAAGACTATAGGGAGGATGATTTAACACCTCAAAACGAAGTTTTTATAACGTCAACAGTTTGGGCAGAGGTGTCCAGACATGGATTGCCATGCAAGATCACAATGCCCTTGGATAGCAGTCCTCTGTGTTTAATCCAAAGTTTAGACTTCAGCTCTTCAGTGAGCATCTCACTGTAACAAGCACTGTTGATTGTTGAACATTTCTCCTGACAGTGTTCCAATACTGACCCTTGAGAATCCCAGAAAACTGTAAGCATCAATTTTCCAAATGATGGTTGACTTTTGAACTTTTTCTTGGTCGGCAATTGAGGATATTTTCATTCCATACTCTGCCATTTACTCTGAGTCTCACAGTGATAAACCATGTCTCATCACCAGTAATGATTTTTTTTTTAAAAGAAGCTTTTACCTTCCTTTGAGTATCAGTCCAAATTTTGTTTTCAGATGTCCAAATGCTCCTGTGTGCAGATGTTCAAATGCTCTTAAGTTAGTTGTTTCAGTATCCATCTCACACATACTTTTCAAAACCCAAGTCTATTTCAGATTATTTCATATGCAGAGCCATGGCTGATTTGTAAATAATTCTACTCAACACAATCATTTCACATGCACATTCAATGTTGTTATCAGCCATGGGCATGGCTGGGCATTTTAATATAACTGAGTGTGGGTAATTTTTGACTCAACCTCATATTTACTGATAATGTTCAAAGACTACAACTTTCAATATGGATTATACTTTAACATAAAGAACACAAAAATTCTCACAATTGGACTAAGAAGGAATATCATGAAAAACAGAGAAAAGGTTGATGTTGTAAAAATATTTCATTTTATTTGGATCCACAGTTGATGCCCATGAAAGCAGAAGTCAAGAAAAAGAACATATTACATTAGGCAAATGACTGCAAAAGACTCCTTAAAAGTGTTCAAAAGCAAAGATGACACTTTTAGGACTAAGGCATGTCTGACCCAAGTCATTGTATTTTAAATCACCTCATATTCATGCAAAAGCTGGATAATGAGTAAGGAAGATGAGAGAAAAATTATGTATATTAATTATGCATAATTAATATACATAATTTAGTATATATATTACTATAGTGAAGAATACGGAATACACCATGAACTGCCAGATGAAAGAACGAATCTGTCTTGTTGGAAGGACAGGCAGCTATAATACCCCTTAGAAATACGTTTGGCAGAGACTTCAATTCACGCACTTGGATATGTTATCAGGAAGGTCTAGCCCCTGCAGAAGACATCTTGCTTGGTAACAGAAAAGGTCAGCAAAAAAGAAAAAGATCCTTAAGGAAGAGAATTGAACCAGTGGCTATAACAGTAACTCAAACATAAGAACAATTGTGAAAATAGTGCAGGATGGAGCAGTATTTCATTGCTTTAGATAGGGTAGCTAAGAGTTGTAACTGATTGACAGCACCCAACAACAATAATGGGGAGCCCAGTGGCTCTGTAAGATCAGCACTGGACTGCAAAACACAAGGTCAATAGTTCAAGCCTACCAGCTGCTTCCCAGGAGAAAGATGAGGCTTTCTGCTCCCATAAAGATTTGCAGCCTCAGAAATCCTATACAGGGTTGCTGTAAGTCAGAACTCGCTCAATGTTACTTAACAATAGCAACAACAGTAAGAACACGTGCAAAAGCCTATATTTCAAGTTGAAACAATGAAACATACGTAGGGGAAAAAACAAAGCTGTAAAGCTGGGTGCCTCTTGATGAAACAGTGACAGAAGGTGGAAGAGGCTTAGCATGTGAGCAGAGGAGGTCTCCTCTCTCTCTGAACCTCTCCATCTCCTCCGTGACCCTCTCTTCCCTGTTTCTCCCAATGGCTAATGGCTCTTCCAGTTGGTTCTGAGTCTTCAGTCTTTGCCCATCCCACCCTCTTTAAAACTCCCAGAAGTAAATACATACAAAATCATTCTAATTTACCCAACTATAAGATCTAATGTCATTAGCAACTTAAGTTTCCAAAAATCAACCAAGACTAACTCCACCCTGGGAATCCTGGTGTGACAGTGTAGGATAAGCTCAGGACTGGAAAGTCATTTTGAATCATGAGGTCAGCAATTCAAACTCACCAGTCACTCCTCAGAACCCCTATATAGGGTCACTATGAATAGGAACCAACTCAATGGCACTTAACAACAACCCCACCCTGAGCATGCCTTGGGAGTCTTCCCCTCTACAGTACTTCTCAACTTCCATCTCCTACTCATCTTACTTATTAAAATTCAACTCACCCTCAGGCTCAATTTAGATGACATTTATATTATGAAGTTTTCTTTGATCCTCAAAGACAGAATTAATGACTCTTTTCTTCTACTTCTCTAGTCTTCTCTTTTTACAGTAACTTTATTTTTTACTTTAATTGTAATAAGTTATTTATATGTCTGTTTCCCACATTGGACTGAGAGCCCTTTAAGGACAAGAAACATATCTTATTTGACTCTGGGTCCTTGACCCTAGGTGTCAAAGTGTGGAATGAGGACTAACAGCAATGTCAGAATTGGGATCGTGTTAAGCCAGTTACCATCACATTGACTCCTGTTCCTATCAGAATAGATTTGTGCTCCATAAGTTTTCAGTGATCAATTTTCCAGAAGTGGATCTTTAGACCTTTCGTCTGAGGTGTCTCTGGGCACACTCAGAACTCCCAACTTTTCAGTTAGCAGCCGAGCACTGAATTGTCCTGGTATGGCACTGCCGTAGGATAAGCACTAGACTGCTAACTGTAAGGTTAGTGGTTCAAACCCACCAGTCACTCCTCAGAAACCCTGTATGGGGTCCCAATGAGTCTGAACTGAGTCAATGGCACTTAACAACAATAACAAAGGACACTGGGAGCTTGTTAGAAATGCAGAATCTCAGGCCTTACTTCAGATCTATTGAACGAGATTTCAATAGATCTTTTCTCAAGATCCCTAGGTGGTTTGTATGCCCAGTAAAGTATGACAAACTCTGTCTAGAAAACACTAGATGCACAGTGCACTGCACATGTTAGTCATTCAGAACATGCTTGTTGAATGAATAAATGAATGAATATGAAAAGGGTCACCCAAACTCTGTCACAGTCTCACCTACTGCTATTCCTGAAATCTGGAGATCTTTCTTAGCTGTTTAAATAGAGTTGTCTACATAGCAAAAATCCACCCACACTCTCCTCTAACTTTATCTCTTTACCTCCTCCTCCAAAATCAGGTACCTCCCACCTCACATGGATAGCCATGTCCCAAGCTCAAAAATGTAATTAGAAAAAATAGTTCTCATGGCAGCCCATCCATAACCCACCCTAAAGCCTGCCTTTGCAGAAGGAGGTAGTCCATCAGGAGCTGTGAGTGATGGTCCAGCCAGCAGACCACGGCAGGGAGAGAACTTGCTTCCATCCATCATCCTTCGCCCTCCATAACACTGCAGAACTCACAGCAAGGCAGAAACGGCCCCCTCCAGGTCTGGAGACGGGTGGTGGCTCTTCATCAACCTCAGTTCTGTTTCCACTCATTGTCCCACCCCTTTGATCCCTAGGCTGAGAAAACTTCCATAAAGCCTTCAAGGAAAATCCCATGAGATTAAAGCATGCAAAATGGATGGCAGATAACCTCTGACTACCTGCTTCCCCTCACATCGCCATCCATACTACAACTGAGAAATCCTTAGACAAAAATTTTGTCTACTCCTACAGCAATGTTCAATCACAGTCTGAAAATGAGCCATTGGCTTGCGGACCCTTTGAATCAGAAAGGTCAGAGGTCATTATGACTGCTTTCCCCTGCACAACCATTTTCAACAAATCAATGAATTATTTGTGCTATACATTATGATGACTATAAAAGAGGAAATAAGAAAAATATAATTTATATGACTTTGACTTTGTAGAATGTTTTACTCCTTCCCACTGGTTTTTATACCTATTATTTCCTGAGTCAGGCAGGCAGAACTACTATCACAATTTCATAGATGGAGAATTTGAGATGCAGAGACTTAATCATTTCCCTTTTTTGTAATCTGTACCCTGATTCTGTTCAAGAAGGATTTTCAGTGGCTTAAAATAAAGCAATATTTACACAATAACTCGCATTTGAAGTTTAACTGTAGAAACATTTCCACATTTGGTCAAAAACTAGGTGCAGAAAACATGTTATGACAATTTAAGTACTTCAATTTATGAAGAAAATCACCATTTTCAGATTTTATTTACTCAATAAACTTATATTGAACATTTTTTAAAATATAACTACTTGTATACATATGAGTATAAAATTAAGATATGCAGGAAATCAGAAACCACTTAGGCAAAGGAGGATATTTTGTGCCAAGAACCAGAAATAAGCTCTTCACTATAATTAGCCAGAAGTTTGCCTCTGGGCTTCCTATCAGGCAAAGTAAAAAGGGAACCTAATGTGTTGCAAGAGCTAATTGTCAGATGAAAGAAAGAACTGATCTACCCATTCA